ATCATTCTGGTTGCCCTTTTCTGCACTTTTCCCAATGCTCTAATATCCTTTTTGAGGGGTGGTGACCAGAACTGTACACGGTACTCCAAATGAGGACGTACCATCGATTTTCTTTCCACCTCTTTCCTTCTTTCTTTTCACCCCTCTCTCTCTCTTCCTCTCTCTCTTCGACAAATAAATATCATTGGACAAATAAACATTATCAATATCTGCTTTTATCCCTTTTGTTTTTATTTTTGGGAGTCTCATTTGATGTTAAAAATAATGTGCGTATTTTAAAAATAAAAATGCGTGTAATCTTTGTTCGTGTCTTGCGGCTCTCAAACGTCTTGACGTTTATTCCGTGTGGCTCGTACACTGAGCAGGTTCGGCCACCCCTGTTTGTCCAGCCGCTGCTTCAAGACGGCCAGGAAGGGGGGAGCTTACCACCTCCCCAGGCAGCCGATTCCACTGCTGAACTACTCTTACTATAAAAAATCCCCCCCCCCCCGATATCCAGCCAGTGCCTTTCCGCCCATAATTTGAACCCATTCTTTCGAGTCCTCTCCTCTGCTGCCAAGAGGAGCAGCCTGTCAAAGACAATGAGAGCCAGTTTGGTGTCGTGGCTAAGTGTGCAGACTCTAATCTCGGAGAACCGGCTTTGATTCCCGTCTCCTCCACTTGCAGCTGCTGGTGTGACCTTGGGTCAGTCACAAGTTCTTATAAGAGCTGTTCTTGAAAAAGAGCAGTTTCTCTCAGAGCTCTCTCAGCCCCACCTGCCTCACAGGGTGTCTCTTGTGGGGAGGGGGAGGGAAAGGAGTTTGTAAGCCGCTCTGGGACACCTTTGGGTAGTGAAGGGCAGGGTATAAATCCAATCTCCTCTTCTTCTTTTACCTCACAGGGTGTCTGTTGTGGGGAGGGGAAGGGAAAGGAGTTTGTAAGCCGCTCTGAGACTCCTTTGGGTAGTGAAGGGTGGGGTATAAATCCAATCTCTTCTTCTTCTTCTTTGTTTTCAGTTTCAGAATCCACAGTCAAATTCTCTTCTCTCTCTTGCAGAACATGGTCGGGGCTGGGGAGGTCGACGAGGAACTTGAAGGGGAAACCAAGGAGGAATGTGAAAAATACGGCAAAGTTGGGAAGTGTGTCATCTTTGAGGTAAGGAACACCAGCCGCATCAATGTGTTGCCGAAGGCTTTCACGGCCAGAGTTCATTAGTTGCTGTAGATTTTCCGGGTTGTGTGGCCACGGTCTTGGCATTGTAGGACGTGACGTTTTGCCAGTAGCTGTGACCGGCATCCTCAGAGGTATAAACACAGGAAGGTGGAGTACTCTCTGTGTCTACCATTTTGCTTCTTCTCACCTTGACACAGAGAGTACGCCACCTTTCTGTGCGATGCCTCTGAGGACGCCAGTCACAGCTGCTGGCGAAACGTCAGGTCCTACAATGCCAAGACCGCGGCCAGACAACCCCGGAAAATCTACATCAACCAGCCGCATTGTTTGCCAGCATATATTTTTGTGCCTTATTTATCTATATATCTAATAGCCAAGGCGCCCCCTGCGTGCGGATATCTAAATCCGCACATCGGGGGCACCTGGGGGGCAGAGAGATTTTCCTGCACGTTTGGGGCAATCCCCAGATGTGCCGAAAAATCTGAAATCTATAAAAAATATAGTAAAGTAAAAGCCTCGCCGCTGGGGGGGAGAAGGCTTGGCCGACCGCCGGCTGTGAGCCACTCGGCCCTCACTGCCGCCGCCACTAGGGGAGGGAGGAGGCTTGGCTGGCCGAGCTCAGGCCTCGCCGCCGGTGCCGAGGGAGGAGGGAGAAGGCTTGGTGGGTCCGGTGGCTGGGAGCCGTGTGGGCCTCGCCGTTGGTGCCAGGGGGGCGGGGAAGAAGGGGAGAAGGCTCACCTGCGGCTGCCTCCTCCTCCACGTGGAGTCCCCTCCCTGCGAGTATCGCGGGTCCCCCTTCTTGTTTCTCCTATTTCAAATCCTGTTTTTATTGTGAATTGTAAAATGTAATTAAACTGAGAACAGTTGCTCTGGCTTGCTGATGTTTCCTTATGAAACCACATATAAAGATTCTAGTTTTCTAAATATTGTGGAACCCAGGTCCTTTCCATCTTTCGTGCAAAATGGACTTTAGCAAAAAATGTGCAGTCAAGAATAAAATATTAGGTGTTGAGACCTTCGACTGGATTTTGTTGAGAGTACCAGTTCAGGTTAAATGGTGATAAGCATTCTCTCACTATTTATCATCATTTGAACCTGTACAGTTTTCATGTAGAGTCCTCAACCTTTTTGAGCCTGTGGGCATCTTTGGAATTCTCACACAGGGTGGTGGGTTCAACCACAATATTGCTGTCACAAGAGGCTGAGCCAACTACATTAATAGTAACTGTTCAAGATTTCAGACAAAAGCTGTTCTCCTTCAGTGGAGGGAAGTCATCCAGGAAGTGGTTAGGTCACTCCTCTGCTCACTTGGATAGGGCGAGCCTGTGAGGTAGGTTCGGCCGAGAGAGTGTGATTGGCCCAAAGTCACCCAGCGAGCTCTCATGGCACGAGTGGGGATTTGAACCTCGGCCTCCCAGATACTAGGCCAACACTCTTAACCACCACACTACACTGGTTCCTTACAGGCCCGCAGCCAGGATTTTGTGGCTGGCAGGGCAATTTTTTTTTCCTGGTGGGGCTGCCATTATTTGCCATAATGAAGGGGGGTGGCGGCATGTGCCCCTCTCCCTCCCCTCCCGCAAGAGTTAAAGGGCTCTCCAGCTGATGGGCCCCGTACTCCCCTCCGGTCACTGTTCTCTCAGGAGCAGTTTCTGTCAGAGCTCTCTCAGCCCCACCGACCTCACAGGGTGTCTGTTGTGGGGAGGGGAAAGGAAAGGAGTTTGTAAGCCGCTCTGAGACTCCCGAGTGAAGGGTGGGGTATAAATCCAATCTCCTCCTCCTCCTCCTCCTCCTCCTCCTCCTCTTCTTCTTCCCCCCCTCCAAAACATCCTGTCATTAACAACCTTGCTCAGGTCTCGCAAACCAAAGGCCGTGGCTTCCTTCATGGAGTCTCAATCAATGCTCCCTCTTAGCTGTGGAGTCTTGCGAGCCAAAATGCTGCTTTGTGAGCTCCTGGCATTCAAGTTGTGAGCGAGCGATTGGGCTGCTGCATGGATCAGTTTGCTCTGAAGCCCTCCTTCAGGAGCTAAGGCAAAGATGTGTTAGTCGGAGGGCAAAACACACTGTGAGCTAGCTCACACTCGCTCAGTTTAGAGGGAACGCTGGAGACCAGCAATGCTCCCTTTAAGCTGTGGAGTCTCATGAGCAGAATCCTACTTCGTGAGCTGCTGGCATTCAAGCGGTGAGCGAGCGATTTGGCTGCTGCATCAGTTAGTTTGCTCTGGAACTGTCCCTTCCTGAGCTGAGAATAGTTACAAGAATGGGCACAGTCATAAGACCAATGAAAAAAGAAAAAAGAACTGTGACAATTTAGCGCTTGGTACTATATTTATAAATCATAGTATACAATAACAGAAAATAAGTAATATATATAGTGAATGTAGACGGTGGTCTCCGGAATGGTGTGCCGTTTCGACAATGATCTTCTTCTGAACAAGAATGTGTACATAAACTGTCTTTCAACAATTCATTTCTCTTGGTGACGTATTGAAAATATACTGTTGATTCACTTCATCATAAAGCTATGTTTACAGCTATGTTCTTCAATGGGCTATAATCAACAGTCACGATATATATTACTTATTTTCTGTTATTGTATATTATGATTTATGAATATAGTACCTTCCTGAGCTGAGACAAAAATGTGTGAGCCAGAGGCTAAAAAACGGTGAGCTAGCTCACACCGACTCAGCTTAGAGGGAGCACTGGGAGGGGGGGTGCCTGCCACCACTGTTCCCTTTAAGCTGAGTTAGTGTGAGCCAGCTCACAGCTTTTTAGCCTCCAGCTCACACATTTGTTGTCTTAGCTCAGGAAGGAGGGCTCCAGAGCAAACTAATGGATGCGGCAGCCAAATGGCTCGCTCACAACTTTAATGCACCGCGGTAGCTCACAGAGTAGAATTTTTGCTCACAAGACTCCACAGCTTAGAGGGAGCATTGCCTGCCACCCCCTGCTTCTCCTAAAAAGCATTTAAAGGACCCCTTTAAATGCTTTTTAGGAGAAGCAGGGGGGCTTTTTAGGAGAAGTGGGGGGGGGCTTTAAAGAAGGGGCTGGCCTTTTAAGGAAGGGGGCAGAGCCCCCAATAGCCCCCCACTGTCGTTTTGGGCCAGGTTTCTTAAGGTTGGGAGATACCCAGCATAGGCCTAGATCTCTGGAAACCCCAAAACATGAAGAGAAAGTGTCAGCAAGCTGCCAAATGGTTTATAGGGGTCTGAGGTATATGGTCACCCCTAGGTTCCCCCCCCTCCAGTATGCGCTTGGCCTTTCGTGCGCATTTCCCCTTTAGCCCCCAACTCCACATTCCTTTCTGGGTAGCAAGTCCTGCTTTGCTGTAACTCTATCTACTCAAGGCCGCAGGTGGAGAGCTGAGGAGCTTCGCTGTGTTTTAATTAGGGGAAGCCGTGGGAATGGTTTTCTTGTTTATTTCTAAGGAACTGTTGCATCTCACGGTTTAGGCGCGAGCGGCACCAATGAGCCGCGCGTGGGGGAACCCTGATTATTGGCTGATGTGCTTATGAATTTGCTTTATCCTTCCATGTCCCTTGGATTCAGGTTATTCCTAACACTGCTCTTGTTCAAGTGCTTCATGGCTTCAATAAACGTATAACCTTCTAGTAAGAGTGTGCTTCGTTGTAGTCGTGGGGACCTGACAGAAAGAGAGAACAGAGTAAAAAATCTTATAGAACTGTGTGTCCCCCTTCCTTTTTAAAAAAAAAATGCAAAATTTGTGTTAAACACACCATCATGTACCAAAACATCCCCTTATGAGCATCGAATCAAACTAGATGTGTGCCAGAGCAGTGTTACAGACTCTGGCCAGCAGCTCCGTGGGTTCTCAGAAATCCCAAAGAAGTAATACGAGAGATCTGGGTTTACTTCCAAGGAGGCCTTTAATAAAGCATCAGAGATACAGAAAACGCAGGCTGAGCGTCCCATCGGCTGGGCCCCGAGCGCACACGCACACAGAGCAAAACGTAGCCCGCTCGCGAGACCCCAGGCGTGGCTAAAACTGCACGTCTCACACCCTAAATGCTGGCTACGGGTCAAAGGAGGATTCATTAAGCTGTCCCGGACACCCGGATGAGCCATGCTATCTTCCAGTGGGGGGAAGAAACAACCCAGTCTTTGAAGATAAGCGCCGCCCACAAGCACGAGAGAGAGGAAAGTTCCCTTCAGAGCGGCCAGACGCCATCCTCTCCCGAGACGCAGGGGTGACTAAGCGCCAGCATGTAACAAAGATGGAGTCGCCCAGGCCAAACGAGCAGGAACCCAAGTGGGAAGCTCTGTCCGAAAAAGCATTCCACTTGACCCGTGTTTGTTCACGCACGAACCCTTCCAGCGCTAATAATGCCCTAATTGAGAACTTCCTACAGTGCCCGAAGCGTCTCAGACATCTATAGCACCGGTGATCCTTATCAGTTTCTTGTGAGAGTTGGATGAGTCAGTAGTTTGTCCCCCTGTGTTTGCTTGGCGTGAGTGAGTCAGGGTGGGGGGGGGATTTAGTGTTGGGAAGGACCCTTGGAGATCAGTAGAGGTTGTTGCATCTCAGTAGCTCCTGGCAAACCGATTCACCCAGCCTCCTTGCAAGCATTTCCTGGGGAAGTTTCCTCCGCTTCCTTAAAAATGTGTTCCGGTGTGCGACGGCAATAAAAAAAGGCAAATGAAGTGCTGAGGATTATGAGGAAGGGGATTTGAGAACAAATTGAAAGCAAAAAGAAGGGCAAGAGTGCGTAAGGGTGCGGTGATGGAAAGAGCGTTGGTGGAATAATGGTGGCGGCGGCTCCTACTCGAAAGCCTGGCGGAAGAGCTCCGTTTTACAGGCCCTGCGGAACTGTCCAAGGTCCCGCAGGGCCCGGATCTCTTCTGGGAGCTCATTACACCAGGTAGGAGCCGCCACCGAAAATGCCCTGGCCCTGGTCACAGTGAGTTTGATGTTCCTGGGGCCTGGAATATCCGGGAGATTTTGGGACCCTGACCGTAGTGCTCTTGGGGGAACATGCAGGGAGAGGCGGTCCCTTAGGTAGGCCGGACCCTGGCCATATAGGGAAAGCCCAGCTTCAGATCGAATCTGCTTTGTTTCCGAGCGGCCCTCCGTACCGATGGTGTATGTCTGATTCTAGATTCCAGGCGCTCCCGATGACGAAGCGGTGAGAATATTTCTGGAGTTTGAGAGGGTGGAATCGGCAATCAAAGGTAAGCCGCCGACGATAAAGCGCTCGGTTTCAGAAGTCCCGGGACCAGAAGATATATGTGGTTGTTATTTTCTGGGAAATGTCATTATGGAGACTGTCGCTTCAGTCCTTCTGCCCAGCAGGGAGGGTTGCCTCCGTGCTTAGTTCTCGTGGCCCTTTCTTACACGCCTAGGGATATGCCGGTCGCCACTTTGGGGCCAGGAAGCCATTTTTCTCCAGGCCGGTTTGGCCGGGGATCCTGGAGGCTCTTTGTCATCTTCTGGGCACCAACCAGGGGTCACTGAAGGTGTATATGGGGGGGGGGGGGGGGGTTTGTGTTTTGCTGTGGGTGGACTAGATGACCCTGGAGGTCCCTCTATGATTTTATGACGGGTAGATGCATAACACTTAGAATGTTCATAGAATCCTAGAATGTCAGAGTTGGAAGGGACCTTGCAGGCCATCTAGTCCAACCCCCTGGCACTCTGCAGGAGCATAGCCGAAAGATAGCCCTGCAACATACCCGAAAGATGGTAATCCAGCCTCCGCTTGAAAACGTCCAGCGAAGGAGCGTGTCCACCACCTCCCGAGGCAGACTGTTCCCCTTGTCACCGTGCCGATCTTTGTACTTACGGTTTAAAGTCGTTTCCCTTTCTCTGTGAGCGGATGAATACGCTGGCCATTCAGCCATCTCGTTTTTAAGGCTTCCTCGCTAGGGAAAACCCTACTGGGAAAATCATGAGCCTTAAATTGCCCCGCTTGCTTTTTTTCCTTTTCTGTTCTTTTCTTTTCTGCCATCAAGTCAAACTGACGTCTGGAGACCCCTAGTGGGGCTTGAAGGCAGAGGGGCGTTTAGAGGTGGCTTGCCATTGCCCGCTTCTGCATCACGACCCTGGTATTCCTTGGAGGTTGCCCTTCCAAGTACTAGCCAGGGCCGGCCCTCTCAGCTCCCAAGCTCTGACGAGATAGAGCTCACCCGTGCGCGGGGTCTAATCTGGGAGAACCGGGGTTGATTCCCCCACTCCTCCACTTGCACCTGGCTGGACGACCTTGGGCAAGCCGTAGTTCTGATAAGAGCTGTTCTTGAAAAAGAGCAGTTTCTCTCAGAGCTCTCTCAGCCCCACCTGCCTCACAGGGTGTCTGCTGTGGGAGGGGAAGGTAAAAGGAGTTTGTAAGCTGCTCTGAGACACCTTTGGGTAGTGAAGGGCGGGGTATAAATCCAATCTCTTCTTCTGCTCTTCTTCTCACCTGGGCTATCCGGTCAGGGCTCCAACTTGGGTTTTTTGTTACAGTTCCTGCTTAGCACAATCTAGCAAACTCCAATGCCTTTCTTTCCCTCCTCTTTCTTCTGACGAAGGGAGCCTCAACTCTCGGAAGCTTATACCCCCCCAAGATCCTGTTAGACTCAACGTCCAGTTGCAGCTCAGAGACCAACTCTTTCTCTTTCTTCTGACGAAGGGAACTTTGACTTCTCAAAAGCTTGTACTCTGAAAATCTTGTTGGTTTCTTTAAGGGCACCTGGACTTGAATCTAACTCTGACAAAGGGGGAGCTTTGAGTCTGGAAAGCTTATACCTGGAAAATTTTCAAGAGTCCAGCAGCACTTTAAAGGCTAACAAAATATGTGGTAGGGGATGAGCTTTCGTGAGTCACCGCTCACTTCTTCAGATACAGCTAGAACTGGAGTCCATTTGTCCCATATATTGGAAAGTGGAGTGATTTCAGGTGTTGAATGACAATAGCAGATGAATAACAATAGCAGGTGTGATTGGATTCAGGTGAGATATGCAGAGGGGTAGTAGGCGTGGAGAAATCAGCTTTAGTAATGAGACATGAAACCTAGGTCTTGATTCAGTCAAGGAGGATGCATTGTCTTGAGCTTCATTATCAGTGGCAATTCGGCAGTCCCTCTTTCTAATCTCCCTTTCAAATTCCTTTGTAAGAGAGCTGCTACTTTTAGGTCAGCAGCGGAATGTCCTGGAAGGTTAAAATGTTCCCCCGCTGGTCTTTGGATGTTGTGGAAAATTTTGTTGGTCTTTAACGTGCTGCTGGGCTTGAGTCTAGCTCTTCCTCTTTCTTCTGTTCTCCCCCCCCCCCACACACACACATTTATAAATTGGAAATGGGATTAGAGTCCTTCTGCGTTAAGTGGTAGACTCCTTGTGTGCTCAGAGAAAGCACCGTCCTTAGAACGGAACTACAGCTCCAGCCCGTGGTTCTGTAGCTGATTCGTTAACTTCTGTGTCTAACGGAGGGGTCCATGACGTGGTGCCCCGTGGGCACCCAACTGACACCTTTTCTGGGGCCCGCCAAGTGTTTTCCAGAAAGTGGGCTGGGCTGGGCGGGGCTTTCCCCCAGCAAGGGTTCTGATTGGCCACTGGAGGTGATTGGCTTTGCAGATTAAAAAAAAATGTTACGTTGGCAGCAGCTGCCACCGCAGCGCAAGGATTTTCACTGAAGGTCGGCCGAGGCAACCTTTTTGGGGCAGCCATCTTGCGGCGGCCATTTTTACCCAACACCACCAGCTCAGAGAGGTTAGGGGACCCCCCCTCCCGGTCTAACGGTATGTCTCCCGCCTTCTTTCTAGCCGTGGTTGACCTGAACGGAAGGTACTTCGGGGGCCGAGTGGTGAAGGCCTGTTTCTACAACCTGGACAAATTCAGAGTGCTGGACCTCGCCGAGGAAGTCTGAGCCCCGCCCGCCCCGCCCCGACAAGGACGTATCACTGTTGGAAATCTCCCCCCACCCCCCAGCTGCCGTGCTGAGAACCGAACAGAGCTTCTCTTCTAAAAACTGAAAAGAATTCCCTGAATGGATTCTTCCTACTTGTTGTGACGGACACAATTTATTATTATTATTTTTTGGGTTTTTACTGTACCATAAATATCCTTTAAGGTATGGCCTCTTCTGTGTTCTTGAGGATCCGGCGAGGTTTGCTCGGCCGCTTTGGAACGCCCTCCGTGGCGTGCTGATGAGGGAACCGTTGGTCTCGGCCCCCCCTTTTCTCTCTCCGTTCCTACTGGAAACATCGGTGCAGCAGCAGTGAAAGCTGATGGGGTCTTTTCGGCCCTGTAGCAGTCTGCGGCATTATCACAGTCCCTTTTGGATGGTGGTGGTGGTGGGGAGTACTTTCCATGTTGGGGGTCCCAGGTTCAATCCCAGACATAAGAACATAACTGGAGCCCTGCTGGATCAGACCATCTAGTCCAGCATCCTAAGAACATCCGTCTAGTCCAACATCTTAAGAACATAAGAAGAACCTTGCTGGGTCAGACACACCAGTGGTCCCGTCTAGTCCTGCATTCTGAGAACATAAGAAGAGCTCAAGTGGTTAAGACGCTGAACTGCAGGCTGTGGAAGGTCGGTAGTTCAGCAGTTCGAGACCCGAGTGTGCCGCGTGACAGAGTGAGCTCCCGTCTCTAGTTCCAGCTCCTGCCAGCGTAGCAGTTCGAAAGCAAGAAATTGCAAGTAGATAAATAGGTACCACTTCGGTGGGAAGGTCACAGCGTTCCGTGCGCCTTGGAGTTTAGTCATGCCGGCCACATGACCACGGAAACGTCTTCGGACAGCGCTGGCTCTTCGGCTTGGAAACGGATATGAGCACCGCAACCCTAGAGTCGGATTCGACTGGCTTTCGAGCAAGGGAACCTTTACCTTTACCTTACTGTTTCTTTGAGTCGTTCCATGCTCGGGCTGGTGTCGACTTTTATGGTGCCTAGCCACCGTGTTCTCTGGCAGCCAGGCCTCCTTTTGCCACTAACCAGTCCAAACCTCATTGTCTTTTCTAGTGAGTGCTTCTGCATGACATGGCTGAAAGAAGTCAGTCGCAGTTTTGTGATTTTTCCTTCCAGTGGCATGTCTGGCTTTATGCCAGAATGTCTGGTTTTTATTCCAGGATGGTGAGAGGGTTGGGATCCAAGTCTTACGAGGAAAGGCTGAAAGAGCTGGGACTGTTCAGCCTGGGAAAGAGAAGGCTTAGAGGGGACACGATTGCAGTCTTCAAGTATCTGAAGGGCTGTCATGTAGAAGATGGAGCAGATCTATTCTCTCTTGCTCTGGACTGCAAGACTAGATCTTATGGGTGGAAGTTACAAGGGAGTCACTGAAAGTGTTGGGTATGTTCAGCCTGGGAAAGAGAGGGCTTTGAGGGGACACGATTGCAGTCTTCAAATATCTGAGGGGCTGTCATGTAGAAGGTGGAGCAGATCTATCCTCTCTTGCTCCGGATTGCAAGACTAGATCTAATGGGTGGAAATTACAAGGGAGTCGTTACCAGCTAAATATCAGGAGAAACGTCCTAACTGTAAGAGTGGTTGAGCAATGGAACAGACTGCCTCGGGAGGGAGTGGATGCTCCTTCGCTGGACATTTTCGAGCGGAGGCTGGACGACCATCTTTCGGGTATGTCGTAGGGCTATCTTTTGGCTATGCTCCTGCAGAGTGCAGGGGTTGGACTAGATGACCTTCAAGGTTACTTCTAACTCTGATATTCTATGATAAGAACACAAGAACATAAGAGACGCCAATGTTGGATCAGGCCAAAGGCCCATCCAGTCCAACACTCTGTCTCACACAGTGGCCAGAAATACCAGGGGCCATCAGGAGGTCCACCAGTGGGGCCAGGACATTAGAAGCCCTCCCACTGTTGACCTCCCCCCAAGCACCAAAAAGACAGAGCATCACTTGCCCCTGAGTCCCTATCCATACCTTGTGGCTAATAGCCACTGATGGACCTCTGCTCCATATGCCTATCTTAATTCCCTTTTGAAGCCGTCCATGCTTGTAGCCGCCACCACTTCCTGTGGCAGTGAATTCCATGTGTTAATCACTCTTTGGGTGAAGAAGTACTTCCTTTTATCCGTTCTAACCCGACCGCTCTGCAGTTTCATTGAGTGCCCATGAGTTCTTGTATTGTGAGAAAGGGAGAAAAGTACCTCTTTCTCTACCTGCTCTATCCCATGCATAATCTATGATTCTATGCCCTCCACACAAAGACAGGCCATGGCAAACAACGTCTGAACGTCTCTCCCCCGACATGGACGGCCCAGGCCAGACCGATCTCATCAGATCTAGGAAACTAAGCAGGATCAGACCTGGTTAGTCCTTGGATGGGAGACCACCGAGGAAGTCCTGGGTCGCTCTGCAAAGGCAGGCAACGGCACGCCACCCCTGAACGTCTCTTGCCTTGAAACCCCTCCGGCGTTGCCGGAAGCTGGCTGTGGCATGATATACATAACATGTCATGTGTACACACTGCAACCATTCTCAGCTGGCTTAGCTAAGGATCAAGTTCCGCCTGATATTGCATTCCGGCGTGGTGTTTATGGTTAAATAAAAGCTGGGGTGATGTGTGTTTGTCGGTACCCAGCCCCATGGGAGTATTCAACCTTTCACCTCTCCGTGTCATTTCCCTTTATCTGCATGAAGCATACTCCTCACCCACAGTAATACAACATCTAATTTGAACATGGACACTGGTACCAGAGCTTGCAATAAACCCAGGTGCCAACTGTGCTGCCCCGTACTCCCAGACAGCACAATCACCGGACCTAACAACATCAGGTACACCATCTCTGGCTTATTCACTTGCTCGTCTTCTAACACTGTATAGAGAGCCAGTTTGGTGTCGTGGTTAAGTGCGCGGACTCTAATCTGGGAGAACCGGGTTTGATTCCCCACTCCTCCACTTGCACCTGCTGATGTGACCTTGGGTCAGTCACAAGCTCTGGCACAGCTGTCCTTGAAAAAGAGCAGTTTGTGTCAGAGTTCTCTCAGCCCCACCCACCTCACAGGGTGTCTGTTGTGGGGAGGGGAAGGGAAAGGAGTTTGTAAGCCGCTCTGAGACACCTCTGGGTAGTGAAGGGCGGGGTATAAATCCAATCTCTTCTTCTTCTTCTATGCCATTAAGTGTGCTACACAGGGCAAACAGGTCGAACCCTATGCCAAAGGATAAATGGACACAAATCTCACATTAAGAATCACAACACTGAGAAACCTGTAGGAGAACACTTCAGCCTTCTGGGATATTCAATGGGTGATCTCAAAGCAGCTGTATTATTGCAAAGGAACTTCAGAAAAGGACCGAAAAGGGAAATTGCTGAGTTGCATGTTATTACAACACTCAGAACAATGGAATCCCCAGGACTTAACAGGGATATTGGTTTCTTATCTCACTACAGTTTGGAGAGCCAGTTTGGTGTAGTGGTTAAGAGCACGGACTCTAATCTGGGAGAACCGGGTTTGATTCCCCACTCCTCCACTGGTGTGACCTTGGGTCAGTCACAAGTTCTCTCAGAGCTGTTCTCTCAAGAGCAGTTCTCTCAGAGCTCTCTCAGCCCCATTTACCTCACGGGGTGTCTGTTGTGGGGAGGGAGGGAGGAAGGGAAAGGCGATTGTAAACTGCTCTGAGACTCCAAGTGAAAGGTGGGGTATAAATCCAATCTCTTCTTCCTCTTCTGCAAATGCTAACCTCATTCAGCCCTTACATCTGTATTCTTGCCAGTCTCCCAGAAGGGCCATACGTCATCTTTATTTTATTTCATATTTGGAATAATAGATTAGAAGAGTAGATTGTAATGAAACATAATGAATAGTAGAATGTAATGGGATTTGGAAAGGTAGACTGGAATGTATTTCTCTGGTCTGGGGACAGGGGAGATAACTCTACACAGGCAATCACCCCAAAGAAGAAGATGCTGTAAAATACCTCCAGTGCTTGAGAGGAGACAGATGGGGCAGGGTCTCAGTTAATTACTCTCAGCATTCCACAATTAAGGATACATCTCCCCATCAATCTCCAAGTCTAACATGTTTATTTCCTTCACTATGTTCCCCTGAAATAGTGGTTAAGTGCGCAGACTCTAATTTGGGAGAACTGGGTTTGATTCCCCACTCCTTCACTTGCAGCTGCTGGATGACCTTGGGCAAGCCATAGTTCTGTCAGAGCTGTTCTCTCAAGGGCAGTTTCTGTCAGAGCTCTCTCAGCCCCACCTACCTCACAGGGTGTCTGTTGTGGGAAGGGGAGGGAAAGGAGTTTGTAAGCCACTCTGAGTGAGGGGCGGGGTATAAATCCAATCTCTTCTCGTCTCTCTCTCTTCATATAAACCAAGCTTGTTAATTCCTGTTTTGTCCTTGAATCCGTTAAACATCTTCATTATGCTGTATGCTAATTTACTGCTCACTCTCTGCTTATAAGGAGCTGCAGTGGCTCAAGTGGTTAAGACACTGAACTACAGGCTGTGGAAAGTCGGTAGTTCAGCAGTTCGAGACCTGAGTGCCGCATGACGGAGTGAGCTCCCGTCTTTAGTTCCAGCTCCTGCCAACCTAGCAGTTCGAAAGCAACAAATTGCAAGTAGATAAATAGGTACCACTTCAGTGGGAAGGTAACAGCGTTCCGTGCGCCTTGGTGTTTAGTCATACCGGCCACATGACCACAGAAACGTCTTTGGACAGCGCTGGCTCTTCGGCTTTGAAACGGAGATGAGCACCGCAACCCTAGAGTCGGACTCGACTGGCTTTCAAGCAAGGGAAACTTTACCTTTACCTGCTTATATGTATGGACTGGTAATTTCCATTTCATTGTAGGTGAAGAAGTGTGCATGCACAGGAAAGCCTATACCTTGAATACAACTTTGTTGGTCTTAAAGGTGCCACGGTACTTGAACTATGTTCTTTGCATTAACACGACAGGGAAAGATCCTGGTGAGCTACTGCCCTGCGGGGCTGCTTGCTTTAGCCAGGACCAAGCCGAGCTAGGCCTCAGTAGCTCTACCAATGCAGTCCCCCCACCACCACCACCTGGCTTGCCCCTAACATGGAGACTCCTTCCCGTAGTGAAGGATCTAAATTCAATCTCTTCTTCTTGAACAGGCTGAGGAGGAGGAGGAGAAGAACCCAGCTAAATCAGATCAGTGGTCCATCTAGCCCAGCCTCCTGTCTCACCCAGTGGCCAACCAGTTCCTCTGGAGGGCCAAGAACAGGGCATAGAGGCCGAGACCTTCATAAGAACATCAGAAGAGGCCCGCTGGATCAGATCAAGGGTCCCTCTAGTCCAGTCTCCTGTCTCATAAAGTGGCCAGCCAGTTCCTCTGGACAGCCAACAGTAGCGCATGGAGGCCGAGGCCTTCATAAGAACATCAGAAGAGCCCCGCTGGATCGGACCAGTGGTCCATCTAGTCCAGCCTCCTGTCTCATCCAGTAGCCAACCAGTTCCTCTGGAGGACCAACAATAGGGCATAGAGGCTGAGGCCTTCATAAGAACATCAGAAGAGCCCTGCTGAATCAGACCAGTGGTCCATCTACTCCAGCATCCTGTCTCATAAAGTGGCCAGCCAGTTCCTCTGGACAGCCAACAACAGCGCATAGAGGCTGAGGCCTTCATAAGAACATCAGAAGACAACTGCTGGGTCAGACCAGAGCTCCATCTAGCCCAGCATCTCACCCAGTGGCCAACCAGTTCTTCTGGCGGGCCAACAACAGGGCATAGAGGCCGAGGCCTTCCCCCAATGTTGCCTCCTGGCTCAGGGATTCAGAGGATTAGTGCCTCTGAATGTGGAGGTTCCCCTTAGTCACCTTTGCTAGTAGCCATGGATAGACTTACCCTCCATTATTCTATCTAATCCCCTTTGAAAGCTGTTTATTCCTGTGGCCATCACTACATCCTCTGGCAGCGAATCCCACATTCTAATCACTTTCTGTGTATAGTAGTAGAACAAAGTTTGAGTCCAGTGGCACATTTGTGAGTTGTTGTTGTTGGTCTAAGCTTTCATGAGGATGCACACTTCTTTAGATACAGGTATCTGATGAAGCATGCACGCACAGGAGAGTTTGTGCCCGGAATTAAACTTTGTCGGCCTCAAAGGTGCCACCGGACTCAAACCTGGCTCTGTTGCTTCAGACCAACACGGCCACCCGCCTGAGTGTTCAAAGCCGTATTTCCTTTTGTCTGTCCTGAACCTCCTGCCCATCAGCTTCACTGGATGCCCTCGATGCCTTGCTAGAGATGTGAAGGCCCGGAAAAAAACCAGAAAAATTCGGGAAAAAACCGAGTTTTATGGTTTTTTCCTGAAGCCTTTTTGTTTTTTTCCGAAAAATTGGAAACATTGGAAAAAGAACAAAAATTGATTATGGAACATTTTATTTTAACATGATGAATAAAATATTTTAAGACAAGGTGTTCAAATGTTTTCCAAATCACTTCTAATATATATATATATATATAAGGAGGAGGAGACTGGATTTATACCCCACCCTTCACTACCCAAAGGTGTCTCAGAGCGGCTTACAAACTCCTTTCCCTTCCCCTCCCCACAACAGGCACCCTGTGAGGGAGGCGGGGCTGAGAGAGCTCTTGACAGAAACTGCCCTTTTTCAAGAACAGTTGTGCCAGAGTTATGGTTTGCCCAAGGTCATCCAGCCAGGTGCAGGTGGAGGAGTGGGGAATCAAACCTGGTTCTCCCAGATTAGAGTCCGGGCACTTCACCACTACGCCAAACTGGTGTAGTTTCAGTTTTGTTTTTGCATGTGGGTGGGTATTCTGCTTGAAATAACTGTTTGGGTACGCTATATTTTTAATATGCTAGTGGTGATAATTTCATGCCAAGTAAAAATGTCCATAGTCATATTTTATGTTCCCGAAGGAACAGAATGACTTTCAATCTAGAAGAGACAACAGAAATGCTAAGGTTGCATTTTTTTTTTTCAATTTTTCCGAAAATTTCCGTTTCCCCCCACCCAAAAAACCGGGTTTTTTTTCCCGAGCTTCAAAATTTCCGGAAATCTTACATCTCTACGCCTAGCCTTTCGGGAGAGGAAAGGGAACCGGCTTTCCTAACGTTTTCTCCTTGCAAAAAAACCCGACGACGACCCTTTGCCAGTCGTGGACGGGAGGGATCCCCGCAAGCGGCCGGGAGGCGACTGATTTCCTCGCCTTGCGAGCGGCGCGGGAAGGGTTAACAAGGGCCCGCTTCCTCCTTTGCAAACCCGGAGCCGTGACGCCGCCGGGAGGAATTGCCCAAATTAGTCCACTGCCCTGCGCCATGCATCCGTCGTCTGCAGCGGGGAAGCGTCGCGCTGCGGACCCGGAGGGCTGCGGAAGGGACCCTGGAGAGCGGCCTCTGCCACCGAGCCGCGCACAGCCCCTTCCCCCTGTCGCCCAGCCGCGGAGCCCGGCCGCGATGCCTTTCCGGAAAGGTAAGGGGTTAAATCTCCCGCTGTCCCCCCTCCCTCTCGGGAGGCGGGGCTTCCCCCTGCAGGCCTCCAGGTGAGGCCGCGAGGCTTACCTGGCCTGCTGCTGCTGCTAGGGGAGCAAGGTCAAAGGCCTTTTCCCTTGGCAGCTTCTCCCATCACCAGTGTTCCCTCTAAGCTGAGTTGGTGTGAGCTAGCTCACAGTTTTTTAGCCTCCAGCTCACAGATTTTTGTCTCCGCTCAGGAAGGAGGCCTCCAGAGCAAACTAATTGATGCGGCAGCCAAATCACTCGCTCACAACTTTAATGCCAGCCAGTAGCTCACAAAGTAGAATTTTTGCTCACAAGACTCCACAGCTTAGAGGGAACATTGCTCACCTGTTCTTTCTGACCCAAACTGGAGACGAAGGGTGCATGCACAGAATTAGGCTTCCTTGGTCTTAAAGGAGCCCCTGGACTCAAACTTGGTTCTTTTTCTTCTTCTTCTTCTTTTTAACGTTTTATTTAAGTTTCATCAAAAGGAAAAATACAATCTTTACCATTGTGATTTTAACGTGATCTGAACGAGTCTATTACAAAGTTTTGTTCTCAGTCCAATTATAGAAGTCTGCCCATCGTTCTTTAAACACTTTATCATCTTCCCCTTGCAGAATTACGGTTAGTTTATCCATTTCTGTGACCTCAAACTTGGTTCTGTTGCTTCAGGCCAACAGGGCTAGTAGGCACCTGTGTCGACCGATGCTCCCTCTACGCTGTGGAGTCTTGTGAGCAAAAATTCTACTTTGTGAGCTACTACTGGCATTCAAGTTGTGAGCAGGCGATTTGGCAGCTGCATAAATCAGTTTGCTCTGGAGCCCTCCCTTCCTGAGCTAAGGCAAAAATGTGTGAGCCGGAGGCTAAAAAATTGTGAGCTAGCTCACACGAACTCAGCTTAGAGGGAACACTGGTGTCAACATTGCCTGCCTGCCTGCCTGGAGGTGAACTGTATATGGTGGGCGGATTAACCATTAAGCAGATTAAGCACCTGCTTAGGGCACCAGGGCCGAAGGGGGCACCACAAAGTTGGGGAAAGGGTGAAAAGCTTAGTTTGTACAGTATATTGTGTCGCCATATGAATAATTTTTTGTATTGCTGCAACCTGCATTGGTATATCTGGTCAGACAGGTCAACAACTAAAATGGACTGGGTCAGTGTGGAAAGGAGGGGGGGCACCAAGATTGGTCAGCGCTTAGGGCGCCCGTGAGCCTTCATCCGCCCCTGACTGTATACCTGGGTGGCGGGTATATGATTCATGGAGGAGAAGTTTGTCAACGGCGACTAACCATGGGGACGGAGGGGAGCCTCCACATTCAGAGGCAGTCAGCGTCTGAATCCCAGAGCCAGGAGGCAACATCAGGGGAAGGCCTTGATCTCTATGTCCTGTTGTTGGCCCTCCAGAGGAACTGGTTGGTCACTATGTGAGAGAGGATGCTGGACTAGATGGACCCCTGGTCTGATCCAGCAGGGCTCTTCATATGTTCTTATGAAGGTCCCAGCCTCTATGTCCTGTTTTTGGCCCTCCAGAGGAACTGGTTGGCCACTGTGTGAGAGAGGATGCTGGACTAGATGGGCCACTGGTCTGATCCAGTAGGGCTCTTCTGATGTTCTGTGAAGGCCTCATCGTCAGGGCCCTGTTGTTGGCCCTCCAGAGGAACTGGTTGGTCACTGTGTGAGACAGGATGCTGGACTAAATGGACCACTGGTCTGACCCAGCAGGGGTCTTCTTGTGTTCTTAGGATGTTGCACTACCGTAGGTGTAATACTAGTCTGATCCCACAGGGCTCTTTTGATATTCTTACGAAGGCCTTGGCCTCTATGCTTTGATGCAGGCCCTCCAGAGGAACTGGCTGGCCGTTGTGTGAGATGGGATGCTGGACTAGATGGACCACTGATCTGATCCAGCTTCTATGCCCTGTTGTTGGCCTTCCAGAGGAACTGGTTGTTCACTGTGTGAGGCAGGAGGCTGGACTAGATGGACCACTGGTCTGATCCAGCAGGGCTCTTCTTATGTTTTTATGCACCATTTCACATGGACATCTCCTGCACCCTAGATAAAAGTCTCCACTTGTGGAAAGCTAGAATGTCAGGGAAGAGGCTAAGCTAGAATCCCCTCTCCCTGGCCAGTTAGCTAGGTGAAGAGCAATTTCCTTTTTTAACGGAAGAGGCATCCATCGTCAGAGGCTCTGCCATGTCTGAAACACAGGGTAGCCAACCTTCAGGTGGGGCCTGGAGCTCTCCCCAAGTGACAACTCTTCTCCAGACTACAGAGATCAGTTGTCCTGGAGAAAATGGCCACTCGGCATGTGTTTGCATTTATTTGTTTGGTGTAGTGGTTAGGAGCACGAACTCTAATCTGGGGGGGGGAGGAGGCGGAGGAGGTTGGATTTATACCCCGCCCTTCACTACCCAAAGGAGTCTCAGAGTGGCTTACAAACTCCTTTCCCTTCCCCTCCTCACAACAGACACCCTGTGAGGCAGGTGGGGCTGAGAGAGCTCTGACAGAAACTGCTCTTTTTCAAGGACAGCTCTGACAGAACTATGGCTTGCCCAAGGTCATCCAGCCAGATGCAAGTGGAGGAGTGGGGAATCAAACCCGGTTCTCCCAGATTAGAGTCTGCGCACTTAACCACTACACCAAACTGCGTACTTAACCACTACACCAAACCGGGTTTGATTCCCCACCCCTCCACATGCAGCTGCTGGTGTGACCTTGGGTCAGTCACAAGTTCTCTCAGAGCAGTTCTCTCAAGAGCAGTCCTCGAAAGAGCTCTCTCAGCCCCACCTACCTCACAGGGTGTCTGTTGTGGGGAGAGGAAGGGAAAGGAGATTGTGTAAGCTGCTCTGAGACACCTTTGGGTAGTCCTCCCACAGTGAAAGTTCTGCATAAAACTAGGACCGGTTAGCTTTTGTATTAGCAATGCATTTTCCAGAATTAATTTGCACCAGTTGATACGGTGAAAATAACAAAGAGCTGCCTCGGGGAACACCTCAAGGACCAGCCGATTGAGAGAGTGGACGATTTTCACGAACTGCTTCCTCCGGTGCATGGTTAGCTGGCAGATATATACCTACACATGTCCAAAGCTATGAACAGAACAAAGTTTGAGTCCAGTGGCACCTTTAAAACCAGCCAGGTTTTATTCTGGGTATAAGCTTTTGTGTGCACACACGAAAGAAGTGTGCATGCACACAAAAGCTTATACCCAGAATTCAACTTGTTGGTCTTAAATGTGCCGCTGGACTCAAACGATGGGCGATTCTGCATCTAGCATTTGCTCCGCATTGTCTCAACGGGGAGGAAAAGGTGCAGCTCAAAACCACATTCAAATACCTTCGGGGCAGTGTGGTACTGCCTGCAAAGTCACATCTGCAAAGTCACATAAATCTAAGAAGAAGAAGAAGAGAAGAGATTGGATGTATATCCTGCCCTTCACTTGGAGTCTCAGAGCGGTTTACAAACTCCTTTCCCTTCCCCTCCTCATTATGGGGATTGTAGGCTGTGTCGGCTTTCCACTCCCACACAGGCCTCTCCTGGGGCCTAGGCCTCTAGGCCTTGTCTCCCAGCCCTACACAGATCATGACAGTTGCATTTTGAAGAAGGAGGAGGAGGAGGAGGAGACTGGATTTAAACCCCGCCCTTCACTCAGAGTCTCAGAGTGGCTTACAAACGCCTTTCCCTTCCCCTCCCCACAACAGCCACCCTGTGAGGTAGGTGGGGCTGAGAGAGCCCTGACAGAAACTCCTCTTTTTCATGAACAGCTCTTATGAAAACTATGGCTTGCCCAAGGTCATCCAGCCAGGTGCAAGTGGAGGAGTGGGGAATCAAACACGGTTCTCCCAGATTAGAGTCCGCACACTTAACCACTACACCAAACTGGCACTGCTCTATACAGAAGGTACCATAAAAGCCGAGAGTCAAAGAACGCGAAAGCAGCATGCAGTGCAGAGGGGAATTTCTTTTTTCTTTTCTTTTTTCCCCACCTCTTCAAAAACAATTTATTAGGATATGACAAACGTTCAAACATACAACAAAGTTTACGTTATGCATCCTTTCCCCCTCTTACCCCCACCCTTTCATGGCTTCCCACAGTGCTCCAACCTCCTGCCCATCTCTTAGATCTTTTACATATCTTCCTTTTTTTTAAATATTCCAACTCCACAGGTAACACATTTTCCAATCGTTCTTCTTATACACTTATCCATTTCTATCGTTCTTTACATTTCAATTTCTGTTCCGGCATGAGTTTCGTCAAACAACAGAGGGAAAAGCCAATGCCGAATCGCCTTCGGTTGCTTCAGGCCAACAGGGCTACCCACCGAAAGCTACAAACAGCACAAAGACTGGGGGCGGGTAGAATCCAGAGATGCCAGAAGGTTCCGCTTCGCAGAACAAGGCTTGTTACGTAACACTGCGGAGCACAGATGGAAAACGAAGACCGGGTCCCAAACAGTACTGAACCACTCGCAACTGGTCACCCATTAGCATTTGAGTGGTGGCGGGAAAGCCCATGTCAAAGAGACTGGTGGTGAGACCAGACAGTCATGGAATTTTTCAAGGCGAGAGACCACCAGAGGTGGTTTGCCATGGACTGCCTCTAGACTTCCTTGGTGGTCTCCCACCCGAGTGCTAACCAAGGCTGGCTTTGCATTGCTCCCCTCCAGAGATCTGACAAGATCAGACTTTTTGTTGTTGTTGTTGTTCAGTCGCACAGTCGAGTCCGACTCTTCGCGACCCCATGGACCAGATCACGCCAGGCCTTCCTGTCTTCCGCCGTCCTCTGAAGTTGGCTCAACTTCATGTTCGTTGCATCCATGACACTGTCTAACCATCTCATCCTTTGCCGTCCCCGTCTTCTTTGACCTTCAATCTTTCCCAGCATCAGGGTCTTCTCAAGTGAGGGCTCCTTTCTCATTGGGTGGCCAAAGTATTTGAGCTTCAGTTTCATTATCTGGCCTTCCAGGGAACAG